GCTTTATTGATATCAAAATAAATTGCCATACATTTCTGTATGTTGGCAAACGCATTATGTATTTGACTTTTCAAATCTATTATGTTGTCATGTGTCGATCTATGGGGTCTGAAACCGGAGTGTTCTGGAATAATTTGTTTTTTGTTTTCAAGTGTCCAAATAAGTCTTTTATTAATATTTTTTTCTAGCAATTTGCACATTGAGCATGTCAGTGAGATCGGCCTGTAGGATTGTAGATGAATAGCTGACTTATTTGGTTTCAGGGTGGGGATAACGACTGCGTGCCTCCAGATTTGCAGGAATTTTTGTTCTATCCAAATTATGTTGAAAATTTGTAAAAGGAGAGTTTTCGCTACTTGCGGTAAGTTCTTTAAAAATGATGTTGGGATATCATCAGGGCCTGGAGCAGTGTTGTGAGTGCTTCTAAGAATTCTGATTCCGTAATTGATGTGTTGATCGGATCTTGGTTATTTTCTATCACAACAGGTGTGGATTCTTGGGCAGTTTTGTGTGTAAGAAAGCTTTTTTCATAATTTGCGTTAGTTATGTTTGTAGTATTCGGCCAGTTCTTCTGCTATATCTTCTTTTCCGGCGATGCTAGTGTCGTTTATCTGTATTGCATTTATTCCAGAATGTGTTTCGATTCCAGATATATTTTAGACTTTTTTCCATACTGATGAAAGGAGGGTGTTGCTACTGATACTCTGAACATATTTTCTCCACGAGTCTCTTTTACTGCTGCTCGTGATTAATCGTACTTGCGCTCGGTGTCTCTTGAAGTTTATCTTGTTTTTCTCATTTCTCGTTCTCTTATATGCGTTTTCAACGCAGCATTACAGGCTTTTATGGCTGTGGAACAGTCTTCATTCCACCATGGCACAGCTTTGTGCTTTTTTATAAAGTTGGTCTTTCCTATTGAGAAGTGTGTAACTTATTTAATGAAAAATATCCAGAAAGACGCATAACGCAGTCAGCAGTAAGTAAGAGAAACTGGTACCGTTGAAAATGCACGCAAATCAGGTCGTCCTTCTGTAAATAATGACTCACTAGACGTTCTACTTGCTTTTGAAGAAGATGTGCACACTTCTGTTCGTAAGGTTAGTCATAATTTCGATGTAAGTAAAACAACTGTACACAAAATATTAAAATTGAAAAAATAGCATCCCTTTAAAATGGAACATCAACAGGAATTAAACGAGGTAGATCCAGATAGAAGAATAGAATTTTGTGAATCCATGGATAACTGTCACCGAGACCGTCTCCTCGTAAAAAAATATAATTTTTTCTGATGAAGCTACTTTTACAATAAATGGTGGGGTCAACCGTCAGAATTGTAGGTACTGGACCAAAGAAAACCCCCACTGGATGCGTGAGCATCATACACAATACCCGCAAAAGGTAAATGTATGGGCTGGCATTGTAAGAAACAGGATCATCGGACCCTACTTTTTCGACGGTACTTTAGCCGGGCCAACATACCTTCAGTTTTCAAGGGGATATCTTGTAAGTACCTACTTTAATTAATTTATTCCTCAATAGAATTAATCCTGGAAGTTTTTATGAAAGTTTATGGTTTCAACAGGATGGTGCGCCTCTACATTATGCTGCAGATGTTCGAAGGTATCTCGACCAAATGTTTACAAACCGATGGATTGGTAGACGTGGACGTATTGAATGGTCAACGAGGTCGCCATCTGAAGAATGTTGTTTATAAAACGAAACCAGCAAATATTCAAGAATTAAAAGAGAGAATTCGAACAGAAATGAACAATATTTCTCAAGAAACAAGGTTCAACAAGAATTTATTCAACGTTTAGGTTAGGTACTGTCAAATACAGCAAGGACTACAGTTCGAATAGACCCACTCACTTTGGACCTAACCCAACCTAACAGTTCGAACATTTAAAATGAAGTCATATGTATTTATTACTGGATCACTTTCCCATTGTTGAATTATTCATTAGAAGAAAATATAAAATAATTAATTGATTTCTACTTTTATTAGATATCAATAACATTTATTTTCTAAGCGCACATCTTTCAAATTCTGTCCGTTAGACCCCAAGTATCATACCTTTTCGTAATTAGCTTGTTGCGGATTATCTAAAACTGACACCAAATACAGGGTGTTGCATTTATAAAAATTACCGATGACGTCATCACATTGATATGGATTACCCTGTATAATGAAATTTTGTTGTAAAATGTAGAATATTCAAATTAAAAATCGACGTGTTTCAGGTTTTTGTAAAACGACCTTTGGTTTTGGAAATATCGAATTTATTCCATACTTTGCGGACACACTCTATATCAAAGCATCAATCAAATAATTCATAAGATTAATAAGGAATATTAGAATTTAATGTGTCATGATATCAATATCTGATAATTCCCACAAATATCACAAAAAAATGCTGATTCCTGATTCCATCTTTATTATGAAGTGTCACTAGTGAATTGTGGTAAACAAAACAGTATTATTACTGCTAGAAATTTGTAACGGATTATTTATCTTTAGAAGTTATAGTTGATTATGCGTTGATTATAATACGTCAACTGTCAATTTTGATGCGTCAATTGCCTGTATTTGTTCATGAACTGCCAGTTGAAAGTTTCTCAAAATGTAACAAAATATAGGTAAAAACAGTTTGTGTCTTTGCATGATCTACACATTCATGTATAGAGTTACTTATTTTCAAATTGATTACTTCCTTCCTTTCTTTAGAAGATTCCCACATTTTTTTGTATCAAGGTGGAGTAGTAGAAAGCAAAAAACTTTCTCTCCCTAAAATTAATCACTCCTAAAAATATAACCCCTTCAATTCAGGTAAAAACGTAAATGATTATTGGAAATGAAAGGTTGTGGCTTTCTACTTCTCCATCTTCACCCAAAAAATGTGTGAATCTTTCAAAGGCAAGAAAAAAAACAGTAAATTTCAAAATAAACTCTCTACAAAGTTTTGTAGATAATGCAGAGAAGTAACTTTCAGGCACAAACTACACATCTTTGTAAAGAGTTTATTACGAAATTTATTGCAATATTCAATGTTTTCTTCCTTGATTGGAAGATTCCCACATTTTTTCAGATAAGGATGAAGAAGTAGAAAACCAAAACCTCTCTTTCCCAAAAACTGATCTTCCCTAAAAATATACCACTTTCAATGTAAGTGAGTGATTTTAAACGTCAAAAAGTTATATTTTGTTACTTAAATAACGCCAGGAAAAACATTGAATCAAAACACGATCGGAATCCGAATATCCGGAATGACAGTCCACAGTCAATCAAGAATGGAAGAAAACAATAATTGACGACCCATTGTTATTTTAGAACATATATTTGTTTACTTCCCAATTTATACATGCCAAATAGTTGTGTGAAACTATTTTTCATTGCTTAGGATCTCATGCAAGTGAATGCAATGTGAAGCAAGAACTCTCAGCAAGATGAGGACAGTATTAAATCTATTTTTGCTTCAATTAATATTCCTTAGGAACCATTGAAAACCCACTTTTTCACTGCACATGTATGCGTTTTTACATTGTTATTATATAACGGAATTCCTATACTATGACTCTCAAAATGCAAAATAAAATAGCAATTACCAATGAAGAAATTAGTCGAATATACCTAAGGCGATTTGTAAATTCATCGATGAGTCAACCGATGGATTCAACTATTGATCCATTCAAAACAGCGCATTTGTTTCAGTTGAAGTAATATAATAAAATATTCTGTTGAATTCAAGAACTCACGTGAATGAGGTAACTGAATGACAATCTGAATGATTCCGTTTCGAAAGAGTATTGTCAACAAGCCTCTCTGCAATATTAAAGTAATATGTTCATACATATAATTTGAATATTATGAATGAGGGGCTGGGTTTTTGTAGTGATTTTATTAAAAAGCAGCCTGAATGGATATTTTTCTGTTGCTCATATTAAGCCACCCGCTAACGAAAAGTTTTTAAGATATCCTTCACTTTATTGAAAAACACCAAATATTAATCTGAGGTAGCACAACTTTTTTAATTTTACTTTTATATTGTATCATAATTACATTATGTATTTGGGCAAAAAAAGTTTTGGCTTTCTACTTCTTCATTTCTACAAAAAAAAAGTTGAAATCTCCTGAAGGAAGGAAAAGAGCAATTAATTTCAAAATAAACTATACACAAATAAGATGTGTACATCATTCAAAGAAATAACTTTCAGACACAAACTGGAAGAAAATGCTCTCTTGAAACAACTACTTTCATATAAACATTGAATTACACGTAACAAAGAATACTTTTGAAACAACTGTTAGTTATATGAACATTAATCAAACAAATCTAGTTTTATAATAAAAAATGTATTTGAGTGGAGTGCATTTTTTGACTTGATTGTCATTTGTCCTTAAATCTTTTATTGGAGTTCCGTGGTGGCCATGGTAGTATGGTAGTAAACGGACGTGCCGATCAGGTCCGCCCACAAAGTAATGCACGTGGATGCCATCTGCAGGGCCCCTTTTTGTGTTGTGATCATCCATCTAGTGAAAGTAATGTATATGTGAGAATTTTTAACAAATGTGAAGTGAGGGCCCCCTTTATTCACCCCGGTATCCAGGCCGGGTGATTCGGATAACCAAGTAAAGGGGGCCATGTATGTGGAAAAAAACAAACTTTGAAATAATGAAGTTTTTTATGTACAAAAAATGAGAGAAAAAAAATAAGGGGTGGCAGCATTGTCTTGACCAAGACTGCTGCGCTTCCCTTTATTCAAGCCGGTATCCAGGCCCGAGTAGTTCGGACTGTATATCTGAAAAAAAATCAAAAGTTCTCCCAAGCAGGAGGCAACGTGTTGAAAAATAAAAAAAATAATAAAAAGTTCGACAAAAAAGGATGGCAGCATTGCTTCAAGAAAGACCGCTGTTCTCCCCGACGGAGCTCCTGTCAACCTTAAACGAAGGAGCCTGGCCAAATGTATCCGAGTCGGAAGCAATGGTCAATAATAAAAGAAAGAGAGAGAGTTTCGTTTATTAGTGTTCTGTGATTTCATCAAGTATTCTATATGACCGTCGACTAACTATAGTACTATAGTTAATAATAATTGTTGCTTCATCTCTGTGGAGCCATATAGTTGTTGGAAAAAACAAATTATTGAAATCTGTTTATAGAAGTTGAAAATGGCTGGAGGTGATGCTAACGTCGATACTTCAAAGCTGACTGGATTAAATAAAATATTCAATGGGCAAACGATTAGGGGAAGAGCACATGTAGGTATTACATAATGGGAAGATAGGGTAGATGTATTCAAATCGACCATTTCATTTATATGATTCATTCCTGAAATTGAGTTGGTCATTGGTCATTTTCCTTCATCATAGACAGAAAATAAATAGGAAACATTTATAATTCTACACTTGATCCATGTCCTAGTCTGCTAAAAAGACTTTGCTTTCTACTTCACCATTAATATGTAAAATATAGAATTTTCTAGGGAATTGAAGTTGAAAATTGACAAATATAGAAAACCTAGAAAATGTTTAGATTATCTTAGTTATTTCTATCAGTTACATACCTGAAATAGAGGTCATCTCCAATAACTACTGAATTTGTTATGATTTTTTTATCAAGTATCGGCCAGTTCCATCACATATTTATTTTTTTTCAGGTAGCCATGGCCACATATGCTGGTGTAGGACTGATCATAGCTTATTTTTCATTGAAACCTAAATCAAAGAAGTGAATATTTTCAAATTAGTTTCTCGTAATATTATCATGTCTGTTTTAGAGAATTGTATGTTGCAAATTCAATAAAATTATTGTATGATTTTTTTCCCATTCATTTTAGTAATCTTTAATCATTGATTGGTATGATTCAATTCAAGTTTTTTCAACATTCTGGGATCAGTTTTTGAGAAATAATGTCTCAGTTCACTCGAAATGAGAACAGTTTTGAGATCTTGGTTGAAAGCCAATTTCAAGAAACCAATGAAATTGTAAATATACACATATTTTCACAAATGGTTTGAAAAATGGTAGCCTATCAGTGTACACTAAGATATCTCAAACTCAGAACACATATATTAATGAGACTTTCCGATACAGTCTTTTGCAAAACATTGCTTCTGAATGAGATTCATCATATCTTCCACTGCAAGGCATCTAGTCAATATCAGTGACGTTAGGTTTAACCAACAATGCATTTCTGGACTCAAATATGCTTGAAGAACAATTCCGAGTCAGTGAAGGTGGTGACATCCCTCCTTATGAAGACGCTATATATTGGATCAGCAGAAGACTATAAACCAATATCAAAAATGATTGAGGCTCCCTAAGGCAAACCATTGCAAAGCCAACCTTCAACATCAATTGTGAAATGAGATTCGTCCTGTCTTTTGCTGCAACTTAGACTGCAAGGCAACTAGTTGATACCAAAAAAAACAAAGTGCCTTTTTGACCTGTTAAAGGTCTGATCATGCACTAATGCATTGCTGGACTTGGCTGTGGTTAAAGGACAATTCTGAGTAAATGAAAGGAATGTCATTCCCCTACTAATATCTAAGATAAACGAGGCTCCCAAGGCATCTGTTGCAAAGTCAACATTCGCCATCAACTACCGACCTCTTTATTTCACTACAGCTTACACTGCAATCCAACTAGTCCATACCCAAAAGCAAAGTATTTGTTTTGTCGACACCAGACGGCGCTGTTTCGACTCGCCAAAAGTCTAATCGGTGGTGCTAGACTGAACCACCAATACATTGCTAGACTGAACCGCCAATACAGAGGACAACCTTACAAAGATGCCATCTAGGAGCTCAACACATGTTTCATCATCGAATTTACTCCTGAGTGCAATAATTGTTCGTGGTTCAGCCTAGGATTACTAACGAGACCTATGGCTTGTCGAACCAGCAATCTCTGGTGTTGGATCACGAATACTTCGTTCTTGGGCTTTGGTAACGAATATCTTGGAATGTTCGAAAATTAAATTGTGTCTAATGATTTATTTATTCATTCAGACGGGGAAATGAAGCCCCTTTTCTACATATAAATTATAAAATAGATACAAATTCAACCTAACCTAACAATTCGATATAATATAGGAATGTAGGCTTTCATGAATGGCTTCAATGTTTCAATTATAACTGCGACTGTAATCTTCAGTGGCGTGGCCGAATTACTTCTGTTGACAAGTCAAGAAGACCACAGCAAAACCTGGAAGCCAATCAAAATAATTCAATATAATATAAGTTTTAAACTAGACAACAAACACAACACATTTATGCTTCAACACCAGACAGCGTTATTTTGACCCGCCATATATCTCGTCAGTGATGCTAGGCTGAACCAAAAATGCATTGCTAGACTCTACTATCCATGAAAGACAAGCTTAAGTAAGTGAGGGCAATGACATAATATTTCACTGAGTGAAATATTACCTGTTTCATATCTGACATTGTGTAGCAGTCCTGTCAATGATATCTGAATCAATTCCATAACTAATGTTTGAAGTACGAACTAAATAGGAAAAAGTTTTTTTGTATTATTCAATGTTCATATAAAAGTAGTTGTTTTCAAAGTGTTTTTTCTTTCGTGTATTTGTCCCGAGAGGGCTTTTTCTTCCAGTTTGTGTCTGAAAGTTACTAATTTGCATGATCTACACATCTTCATAAAGAGTTTGTTTTGAAATCAATTACTTTCTTCCTTTCGTTGGAAGATTCCCACATTTGTTTTTTGTATAAAGATGGAGAATTAGAAAATTAATATCTCCTAAAAATATACTCCTTTCAATTTAAACAAGAATCCTTTGACTGGGATTGAATCAAATAAGCGAATGAATGTCATTATGTACTGTCATCGATGATATGAGGCAATAAGACAAGCATCTTATTCCGAAACATCGATGTCCGCCATTGAGGATGCGTGTTCCATGTAAGTGAAATATTACCTCTTTCATATTCGATATTGTGTAGCAATCCTGTAAATAATATCTGAATCAATTCTATAACGAATGTATGGAGTACAAACTGAATAGGAGAAGTGTTTTTTTGTACAATTCGATGTTCATATAAAAGTAGTTGTGTCAAAAGTATTTTTTCTTTCATGTAATTCAATGTTTATTTGAAAGTAGTTGTTTCAAGAAGGCTTTTTCTTCAGGTTTGGTGTGAAAGTTACTTTTTTGCATAATCTACACATATTTGTATAGATTTTGAAATAACATGCTTTCTTCCTTTCTTTGGAAGATTCCCCACATTTTTTTGTTTAAAAAAATATATCCCTTTCAGTTTAAATATTAATAATGATCAGTGAAAGCGAAGAAAGGCATATATTTTTTTATTAATGTAAGTAAAATAGGCATAAATGATATCAAGGTACTTAAATGCTACTAGTTTGCTAATTCAAAGGATTTATTGCAATAATAAAAGAGTTGTAATTAGTGAGTGTTCCAAAATTCCTGTGTAGTGTACCTATATTCCTGGTGTTTTTCATCTACTTCTTGATGCCAGACAAATAGCTTTGTTAAGCAGTTCTCAAAATCTGCTGTAGCTTTGACAAAACATATTTTCCATTGAAATCTAGAAATATTAATAAGACAGAACAGTTTCATTTTATGACCGGAATCCAACAATTCAAACCTGAATAACACCGTAGTTGAAAATGAATCGAATACAACCTATCACGATGAAACGTTTCTACAAACTCTTGTCGTGCAATTGAGCAGTCCCTCGAAATTTAATTCTGTTAGAGCCATAATCTACACACGTACACCAGAGCCTGCTGTGTAGGTAGATGGGAGAGATTATTGTTTCGAAATTTATTTTGAAATACTTATTTTCTTATAGGTATGTATCTCTCCTCGATAGTTTTCATTTCTGATTTATATAAAATTATTTTATTTTAGGACTTTGGATTCAGAACCTATGACGTCTTAATGCTTCAGACTATTGAAAACTGCCAACGTTTCTAGTTCATATGAATGATAGCGCTGTTCCTGCTACTCTTCCCGTCGTCTATAGGCTGAAGAGCTTGACAGGTCCGAATGAATTATCACCCTGCTTTGCGCTTTGCAGCTAACACCAACATTGGATACATCGATACGAAGTCCGTTTCTGCAGCACTGTCGTGAAATGCCAAAACAGGTCTCATTATCTAAAGATTTTTCAGAGTTTCGAATGCTCTATTGTGCTCCTCCTTCCACTACAACTCCACCAATATAGGTACTTGCGGAAATAGCTGGATAATCCTAGGAAGTGTCTTACTTGATGAATGTTCGCAGGGCAATTTCTAACTGCATTAATTTTCCTTGAACGAAACTCGAGACCATTTTTTCGTATTTTGTGTTCCAGATACTATGAAGCTACTCCAAAAAATGATATATCTTGTCAAGTATTGCTGAATAAAGTAGACCGATACTTCATGAAAATTCGTGTTTCTTAGCGGCAGCTTCGATTGCGGCCTGTCCAAAATTGGCTTGGGACACGATCCTCTAGTTTCTCTTGTCAAATTAACTCATTCTCTATGAGTGATAGTTCTCTCTGATGCTCGGACTTCTTCAACCGCTCCCATACCTTGTTGATATCCGATATTATCTTACCCTCTTTTGGCGTATTCTTGCGTTAGTTGTTCACCCTAATTTTTGACTGCAATGTGGAGAGCAGGATTTCCAAGTTGGTAGTGAAGTGCCCATAAGACTATCCAGATAAAAAGTACTCGGCAAACTGTCCCTGGTCAGAATTCCTGATCATAATGACCTGAAACTGTTTACTCTGCAAGGGAGAATGCTACAGAACGAGACATTGACATGGCTTCGGGTTTCACCAAACGAATACTAAATGCCTGGACCTAGGTAAGGCATTTATACATTCTCCGAAGTATGTTGCTAGATTGCAGCTGGGGTTGAAATGCATATTTGCAATTGAAGTTCAATTCTATTGTCGCCTTTGGAGAAGGCGACAATATGGAGGTGAAATAGATTGCTGCCCCCATCCATATACATTCCAATCCAAGTATATCAAAACTTCACTCTATTGCCTTTTAGAACTTGAAATCTGGAAGTGAAATATGTCACTGCAATTGGACTTCATACCCATCATAGCTTTTGACATCATTCGCTACCCATGGTTGCTAGTGCAACTATAGTTCTGAATCCTATATCTATTGATTCCAAATTCATCATCACTTCTGGAAACAGGTACCATTGAGAGTACATGATTCTAAATGATCTCCATGAGACATCTACTCTCGTCAAACAAAACTTATCATCGCTTATTGAACCTTACTTTGAGGTAGGAATTCATTTTTGCCTCTAGGATTGAAATACATCTCTGCTTTGGCGTTGGAGTTGTAATCCATCTTTGCTTTTGAGATTGTGATCCACCAATGCTATGGAATGAGGTTTATTGTCCTTGGACTAGAATACCTATATTCATCGGTGGCTTTGAGGCTTGAATCTGTCTACCTTTTCAATTTGAATGCATCAATGCCTTTAGAGCCGAACTTCAACTCTGCCTTCATGCCAGAAAATATAGACCAGGAATTTATTGTAGCCTTTAGGATCGAAACCCATTTCTTCCTTCCAAGTTGAAATCCATCGATGACTTTGTACTTGAAAAATCTATACTAGAGGTCTAGTGCTCCTTTTAGGTCTTAAATTCGTTTGTTTCTTTGTGACTGTATTGATGGCAACACATATCGGGAAGATATGTGTTGGATATATTGGGAAGAAAAATCATCAATACAGAACTCATTTTATATACTCTGTATGACATTGATCTCAATGCAAATCGTAATATTGTACACACTGTACAATAAAACAGCACATGATCCAGCATTCATCAATACTGAACCCAGTATCCATTTCATACACTCTGTATGCCATTGAACTCGATGCAAATCGTAATATTGTACACACTGTACAATAAAACAACATATTACTCAGAAATCATCAATACTGAACTCAGTATTTATTTCATACACTCTGTGTGAGATTTAATCGATTGTTAGCATTTTTTTTTCAATTATCATTGACTAATATCGTGATCATAAATAAGCAAGGCAAAATTCAAAAGGAAAAGGAACATTTTCGAAGAATACGTTCGTTACATACCTACGTTCGTTTGTAAGCCTGCAGAGGCCTGTGAGATTGCTCATTTCCTTTTCTTTGTATATGTGCAAAATAAATATTCCACTTGTGATCACCAACTTTGTTATAAATAAGTAGATACTTACTCAGATTGTTACGGTATAACATACATGTATCCATGTATAGTCATAGTCACCTTAATGTATATTTATATTCGTCTTCAAGAAATGTATTCTTCTCAAAGATATCATATGTCCAACGGCATTTGATTTCAACTGATCAATTAATAAGGAAAATTCCTACCTTTGTTCAATGGCAGCCTTGAATCTATCCCGCCGCTGCTTTATAAGAAGAGCAGATATAATAACCGTAAAAATATATTTTACCCAAAGATACATCAATTCACAATTGAACTTAATGATTAAACCAGCACCCCTTTTCCGATATAGATATAAACAACTAAATGAATAACAATGCTAGACAACGATTTGAAATACCAAATTCTATGAAGGAATGTTTGAAAGATCATAATGAAAGTCTGGATAGAATTATAAAATTTATGAAAGCTATTGGGCTATACTTAAAAATTTGAACAAGAAAGCAAATGATAAACAAACTAATAGTAGAAGGCCAATGACCTCGTAGTCGACGCCTTTAAAAAAAAATGCTCGTGCCCGAATTGACTGACTATTCTCATCCAATCTTTCGAGCCCCGCGTTTTTTTCCACCCATGTCGCTAGTGGTTTCTTACAAACATCATGATCAAAATTTACCGGTAACTTTAGCATGTAACCGAGTTTTTACGCATTTGGAGGTGTAATTTCTCATGTGTACCCAAATAATGATGTTGAACCAATTGTTTATGCGTCAAGAACTTTATCCAACACTGAGATAAAGAAACTTGTGCTATAATATTTTTTGTAAGTTTCATGATTTTTGTTCGGTAGTTTTTTTACAATATTATGTGATCATTAGGCACTAATCTATTTCTGGGAATAAAAAGGGAATACCTATTTATGCAGCTAATCTTTTGCAAAGATGGGGAATTATCTTAAGTAGGTACTCATCGATATGAAATCAAACATATTGAATAAAAAAAAAATGCAAATGCATTTTCTCGCCTACCTTTGAATACAGTCGAGGAAGAAAAATATGACTTTCACATATTCTTTATATTGAAGAAAATTTTCCAACAGATGGTCATCAAGTAGCTTCACATACAAAAAAATATACTTGTTGAATAAAATTTATAGTGTTTGGTTACAAGGCTGGCCGAACAGTGTGTCCTAGCAGTATGCATTATTTTTTACCAGATCAATTGCATTTAGAACATGAATGCATCTTATGAGGTTATAGGGTAGTTATACCTCAGAAGCTGCAACCCTACCTCCTGAAATAACTGCATTTGAGTCACATGGAAGAATTATTCTCACGTTTTGGTTTCGGATAATGATCGTCCATTTTCATCTCACGAT